CTAGTGGAAAACCGACTTTATTACCTCTTTTATAGAACAGTATAATAAGCAACAACAACAACAACAACAACAACAACAACAACAACAACAACAACAACAACAACAACAACAACAACAACAACAACAACAACAACAACAACAACAACAACAACAACAACAACAACAACAACAACCACCACCACCACCACCAAACAAATTTAATTACCTAATTATGATTTCAGTAATATTATGTTTTTGGACTAGCTGCCAGAAGTGAAGATACTGTATTCGAAAAAATTTGCATTGCTGCATGTGTGGTTTCTTTGATGCATGCTATTCGTGATATTCGGTTAGAATTCAATTATTCAGCAGGTCAATTTTGGTTTCTTCAGTGGTTATCTTTAGCCAATCCAGTTTTGCCGACTGAGATAACAATTTGCCGATTAGCTGACGAGTGGGGGGGGGGTGTTCCACCCCCCCCCTGTAGCGCCGCCCCTGATGAGAGACATGTGATGAATGCCTCTCATTAGCGCACTATAGGAACCACTGAACTATATAACATGGAAGGCTGACTCGAGCTCCATAAGTGAAGCCAAACATGGCGGAAATTGACGACATTCTTGCGCGTCATTCTCAGTCCCCTTACGTGCGCGGTCAACTAAACTTTTGTATTTTTCTTTATTTTCCGAGTATAGAAAACCTAATAAAAACAGACGAAATTTGGTGTTTTGTTTGGGTTCAGTTCTAAATTTTAATCATTATTTATGAAAATATAAAAAATGTTTGGCCGCGCGGGTAGGGAGACTCAGAATGACGCGAAAGAATGGCTCATTGACTTCAAAATCCGCCATCTTTGGCTTCACTTTTTGATTACGTCACTGACTGAAGTCGGCCTTCCATGTATATATAGTTCACTGATAGGAACATGCATGGCAAGTGCATGTTGATGACGAATCATTGCGAATCATGGCGTGGCGGCGGTTACGCTTTTTTGGCTGAGTCGACTTTCGGTATTGTCTCTAGCTATCCGTTAGTCTCCTTCGCAGCCGCTCTTTGTGTCGAGGTTTCTAGCTATCTGTGCCTCCGCGTTTGCATGCATACTGCGTGTAGACAAAGTGATCTGATATACTTTGTCTTGAAGCATGCTTATTTTTGTCTTCCGTCTGTTGCATTTTTACTCATCACGTCCACTTTGGTGCTTAGTCCACTTCACATAATATATCATCCCATTCTATTAATTAATCCAGAAAATGGATGACACATTCACGGTTTCTTCTATGCGCTCTGCCAGGTCGTATAGCTAACCTCACCGTACCATATTTCTTGTAAGCGTACCATATTTCTCGCGTACCGGCCATATTTCTTGTATATATAAGATATGTACCTTGCCTTTAATAGGATCTATATTTTTTTGAATTATTTTAATAATCATTAGATAATAATAATTTTACTATTATCATGTTAAACTAGGTTGGTAGTGGACCTGGATTAGCCTTCATGGCATTTTCGGATGCCATTACACAACTTGACGCCTCGCCATTTTGGGCAGTTATATTTTTCTTTATGTTGATTCTTTTGGGAATTGACTCAGCGTTTGGTCTGTTGGAGGGAGCTGTCAATCCGCTTTATGAAATTGGATTGTTTCCAAAGAAATTAAATAAATCAATTGGAACAGGTAGAGTAGAAAAAAATCAAAATCTCTTTTAATAATAGTATAGAATCCCACGTTAACACTTTACCGGAGAAGCAACGACGACGGTTTAATATAGCATTTTGCTCTAGCAATAACTGCATGTTATATAAGGCCACCATTTGTTGTATATTAGTTTTTTTCCCGCCCGCATCATCATCATCATCATCTCTTGTTCGCCATTCAAATTGCCATTATTGCAATTTTTGACCATTATTATAAAATTTGTAATGTCTTCAAAGCGAAATTTGAAAGAAAGACAATTAGAAATGTTCCCAAACCAAATGTTATAGTTAAAATACGAAATTTCATACCAAAACTTCCAGTTTCTCCCGCATTTACGTACACGCTTATCAAATATGCAAACTCGAGACGACTTGGCTACAAAATTATTTCATATGTGGAGCGGCCATGTTTTTAATATGAAAACATCGTTTCAGTTGCACTTACGAATTTTGTGCTGTTTTGCAATGCTGAATTACAGGGTATGGAAACATTCAGAAAGTTGCAGCTGTATAAAACATATACAACGATTCCTGTATTTTCCGGTACGCACTATATAAATGCTTAATGCGCACTTTTTCAAAGGTAAATTTTACGGAGAGGGGAAACCCGGCAAATAATGGCATAATGGTAATGGCCCGCCCGCCCGCATCAACTTTAGGTGAAGCTCCGGATGAGAAACTAATATACAACAAATAGTGGCCTAATAACTAGAAATACATGCATACAGTAACCCCTCGCCTTTCTCATTAAAGGCCATTTTCCATTAATTGCAGTCGCTTTGCCCGCGCGGGCGGACCGACCAATTTTAATCATGTGAAAAATAAGTCGCCGGGCACGCCAAGAAAGTTGAATGTAGTTTTACTCATAGAGATTATAAATAACACTAGAGGAGGCATTGTAATCTTAATTCAGTAAAAAAAGGGGAACGCGACTATTGGGGGGGCAAATTCAAGTCCCGGATGTGTATTCGTGTTCCCATTGGTGACGAGTTTCAAATCAGCCAATGAGAGCACGATTTTATATCCGGGACTTGAATTTGCCCCCCATTAGCTGCGCTCCCAATTTTTAAACTCGATGGTTCATACCAATAAATTACCCATATAAGTAGGACATATGCAGTGATCTACTCTAATGCGCATATCAAACATAGACAAGCATTTCAAATTTAGATCATTTTTAGGTCTGAATTGATATAAACATAAATATAAAGTCCAAATAAACGCATGGAGGGATATAATATATAATAAAATGCAAATACTGCTATATCAAGAAATGTGATACATCGGGCCAGATCTCCCACAGCGGTCTGCAGTGTTGGCCTTTGCGAGATTCCATATACAACAAAAACGACGTTAGCATCCTTTTACTAACCCTGAAATTCAAGGAATATGCTGCGCAATCGTTTATCTTTGGTTTATGTTTTATGATGTGCTAATTATACGTACAGTTGAGCGAGAATTCTTTAAAACCAGGCAATATACGAACAACCAAATGCGCAGATAGCGCCTGTATTTACACGCAGACTTGGTTGAAGAAATACCCATTTTGCCCCCAGATATTTAGGACGAAACAACAATAATTTAGTATCGAAATGCTCGTCACAGTGAAGCGATTCTGAATTTGCTCCTACTTTTGAGACTACGCATGCTCCAATTGGGATATGCCGCTTTTTCGTCTGACCGCGCACCTATTTCGCGTGACGACATAGAGATTTATTCTATCGGATTACAAAGTTTCGAAACGATTTTGCCCCTAGTATATTATTCATTTTTCGGCAAATTTTGACGTTTATAGATAGAATTATGAACATATTTTATGTATCCGTTCCTACTTTTTAGAAAAGCATTAAAAATAATCTCTAATATACGGTTTTGTTCATAATTTTGGCGATTTTCAACCATTTATCGCTGAAATTTCTGGGGACTGGGAACGAGCTCAGGTTTAATAGGCAAATGTCCAAAATTTCTTGCCATGTTACTTTCATGGCGTGTCCGCGAGCATTCAGGCGGACAAAAAATGCACAGGATAGACAACTACAGAAAAAGTTGAGTAATGTTCGCTCCGCCCGCTCGGGCAAAGCGACTGCAATGGAAAATGGCCTTAACAGATGAAGTATACAAATTCCACATGAAATATTTCATGATTAAAAACAATAGTGCAGGCAGTTGCCGTGGTATCATTGATTTGCCAGAATCATTGATTTTCAAAATCTAGAATGTAGTTTTACGGTACTTGCCTTTCAATAGACCAAAATTTAATTTCAAATAAAAACAGTGAAACGTTTCGAAACTTTGCCGTGAAGCTGCAAGGCCAGGCAGGGGCGTGCAAGGGAAACTGGAAAACTCGTTTTGCTGACAGTAGTTTGCTCGAAAATACGGTAAAATATATTTGCTTTACTTAGATTTGTTAGTTATATTTTAATCATGCTACACACAAAAAAAACTACTGATGCGCTGTATTAATGAACTATATAGTACATCATTACTGGATTTCCAGCTTGCATTAACCCACATTATTGAGTTAGAAATGGCTTAAAAATTTCGCAGATAAAACTTGACAAAACAAAACAAAGCAAGTAAGCCATGGAATTTTACTACTGAAATGTTTTATACACTTACCCAAACATAGTCAAAACAACGATTATTAAAAAACATCAGTGATCAGGTTCGACCGAGCTCACGTCCTCGGGTTCGTCTTTGACAAAATTCGTGTTTATTTATGCCTTCCAAATTTTGTTTCACGGTTGACAGCCACCAATAAAAAAAATGTTTTGCATTTTTGTAAACTTTTTCACGAAATTTTTTAAATCGAAAAATTATGCTGTGTGTTAACAAAAAAAAACAGCAAAATAGTGTGAAAATACATGAAAAACAAAATTTGCGAAACGAAAACATGCAAAATGAAAAACAAAATTTTACCCAGAGTTTGTACTCGCGCATGCGCATAACGTCAAAAACCGTCCATCACATAATGGAGGACAACCATAGGACAGCTTTGCACTTCGCTATGTTCTCACATACCCAGGTAGTAATTCGTGGTGTCATGGTCGTGCATGATAACTGACATGTACACTGATTTGATATCCTAACCTGTATGCAGATCATGATCAAGCAACTTGGAACCGACAGCTTGCATGTCTTGCTGACAGGAATTTATTCTCTTATGCCTCCAGACCCTTTTCGCTCGCGTGGCGTACGATGCGCATTGCATCCAATTAAGGGGTAGTTGCCATTTCTTATTTTATGATCTATTATAATTTAATCTGGTATATTTCATTTTGATTTGTATGAAGGAATTGTTGCTGTAGTCTTGTTTCTGATTGGTTTATCAATGATAGCTGGGAATGGATTTTACGTGTTCCAAATTTTTGATGATTATTCATCTGCTATACCACTACTGTTCATTGGTCTATTCCAGTGTATTGCGGTTGCTTGGGTGTATGGCAACAACAGGTGAGAGTTACACTGTTTATTATTAGCATGACAAAATTACTGGATGCTGATTGGTTGAGAGGAGTACAATTATTTTATTAATTGTACTGCAGTACAATTAATAATTTTCCCAAAACAAACAAAATGGCGGAAACGTATTTTAAACACAAGCGTGAAATGAAATTGCCGTGGAGGAACTAGATGAAAATACGAACAAAAGCACCAAATTTTGCTTTAACAAAAGAACTAAATCGAAGTCGAAGCAAAATTTTACAGCTGCGGTATTATCATTGCTGGGGACTTCAATCGTCTTAATGTGAATCATATAATTAAGCATTTTTCGGTTGAAACAAATTGTTAAATCACCAACTCGAGGCGAAGCAATACTTGATCTAATATTAACTAATATGCTCGTAATTAGTTAAATTTACTTGTAAAAAAAAAATACGCAATTCAGCCTATGGCTGCGAAGTATTTTATTAAATATATCTATCTATCTATCTATCTAAATGAAAATACAAACAAAAGCACCAAATTTTGGTTGAAAGTCTGGCAGGACTGGGCTTTGGCAAGATAATATGATGTTGACATTGACATTGAGAAGTACGTATCCAATTGTGTCATGCTAATAATAAACAAGTAATCATGTGATGTTGCTCGTACAATTAAGGATTAATAGTACTCGTGATGTTTGGTAATTTACCAAATTGGACTCGCCCCGGCGGCTCGTCCAATTTTGGCAAATTTCCAAACATCACTCGTACTATTAATCCCGAATTGTACTCGCCATCGCATGATTACCTATACTAATTTCAGGGAGTTAATTTAACTCCCAGGAGCGGGTTGTTTAAAGCTGGATTAGCGCTAACCCTTGGTTAAAATTTAACCCGCTGTTTTAGTTTAAAGGAATACCGAATGGTTTTCTGTGCAGGATTGCGTGATCCATGCACGAGGGATGTCGCGAGACTTTCAGAAAGCGTAAAAATACTCGAGCCGCAGGCGAGTGTATTTTTACGCTTTCCGAAAGTCGAGCAACATCCCAAGTGCATGGATCACGTTATCCTGCTTGGAAAACCATTTGGTAATTGTTTTATAAAATAACTACAGTGAAAGAATAACATTTTGAGAATCCCGCGAAAATCCCACGAAGGCATTTTAATTCCTCGTGCAGGATAGCCTGATCCTGCACGGCTATTGACCAATCAAATTGCGTGTTTCACTGTAGTTATTATATAATATGTATTTCTGCACGTCTGTTTATTTCAAAACTTCAGAGAAGACAACTCCTACTGATCATGATGAGATTTCTAACGAAATATTTCCAAATTTATAAAGTTAGCAAGCTGTTGGGAAGTTTGCTTTGAATTTTAGGTAAACCTAGAGTTAACCTAATCGGCTTTTGAACAACCGGCCCCAGTAGTATTTTGTAGCCGATGGTCCCGATTTAACTCAAATATGAAGTAAAATTGGGTTCAAAATAACTCCACTGGAGATTAACTCCCTGAAATTAACAAGGTAGGGACTTAGTTTTATTTAGTTGTCCAAACAACAAATAATCGGAAAGTTTTTCCTGAACAGTCTTAAACCGAATGTGTTGCTCGTCGACGACTCAATCCTGTCTACGTTGCTGTGCATACACTGTGCTTTCTCTAATATTACATCCTTGATCGTGTGCATGCAATACAAGCATCTCCAAACTGCACTCGTCTTTTAGATTTGCTGACGATATTCAGGAGATGACAGGCAAACGTCCTTGGATTGGCTGGATGATATGTTGGAAATACATTTCACCTCTGGCTTTGATTATACTTATCATTGCCATTTTGTATGACATGGGTGACAAAGGCATTGGTTATTGGACATTTGTTGCTTGTGAACAGGTACTTACCGTTACCGTCACACCTTTTTTTAAAAATATTTCTTTGTTTTATAAACTGCATGTAGCTCAATCTAGTTCGTTGAAGCAATGAGCCTGGAAGTAAGGTTAGACCCTTAAACGAAGGTCGGATAACGCCAATGAAACTATGAAGTGTAAAAATGGAAATGTAAAAATGTCAATTATATAGTCTTTAATTTAATTATGGATCTTAGTGGGATTTCGCCAAAGTCCGTGTGCATAATAAGCTTCCATGCTCGCTTGCGGCTTGCCTTTTCAAAATACACTCGGACTTTGAAATCCCAGTAAATCCTACTAGGATTCACTGTTATCCTACGACTGAATCAATATACTCAGTAGGCCTTCGCACTAAACCAGAGCTATATACAATTCCATCAGAGTCCCATATCAAAGATAGGCTACCTCTGAGCGTTCCCTCCTTACAATGAATTTTTAATAAAGATCAATTTATTAAAATAACTTGAATTGTGGTTTCTTAACATAATAAATAATGTCAAATTACATTGTTGTTATATTGTCGCGACGGCATAAAATCACATCCATCAGCAGGTGACACTGTGCCTTTGATGAGTCAACGCTCCAAGCCTTTGTTGGACGGAGCCCATCCACTGTGCGCTTATGCTTAGTTGTTAATGCCTTGGTTATTGAATAACCTCATATAACTCGTCATTATAATTATGAAAGTTATATAATTTAATGCAACTTGTAATGTATATATACACCATCATTTTACAGGATCCATTCAGTAGCAAATACCCTGGAGCTGCAGCCTGGTTATCGCCGCTAGAGTATCCCGGTTGGGCAAAATTCGTGGCTGCCTTGGTGATCATGATATCGACCGTTCCTCTACTGATCTTCATGATCATCAGATGGCCGAAAGATTGGCGAGCAAAGTTTCACGAGAAGTTATTTACTTCTATCGAAAACTATCATCCTGATCCGCCTAAAAAGAAAGACGATGTCCTTGGATATTAGCTAACTAGTATATATATAGTTGGCTAGCACGACTTTGATATTGTAGCACAGACATATACAGGGTGTATTAAAAAAGTAGACAATTTTATAGTGACCACTGATCGAAATTTCCGAACATTTTTGTGGACATAACTGTGAATATGGGTCGTTAAGGGTACGATCATTTGATTTCTTTACCTGCACAATATCGTTTGCCTTAAGATTAGTATATACTAGGCCAACCATTAAAAGTCTCTCTGAAGTTCGAAATCCGCATGTGTTCCTAGCACGAATATATACGTTTCCTTATTTCATGAGACCACTGCATCGCGAAGGATCGTCATGGATCGTTCGTAGTTCAGAATTAGGGCATGCTGTCACAATGGAATTGTGAAGCTCTTGTAACTTCTGCAACGTTCTGAAATCTTGTTAGAACACCCAAACTCTTTTGCCTTTTCTTAATCTTGGCAAGTTCCGAATACACTGAGAATGAAACACAATCAAACCATACAACTCCATAAGACATATTAACAAGCAACTCCCCAGAGACATCCAACATTTTTGGAATAAAACGTATAACAAAATATAGTAGCGTTGCTACTGTGATGCATGTGTATTTGCAAAGAGCAATATTATTTCCTTCATTAAAGAATAATATTCATCCTGCTCTAACCGAGAAATAATCAACTCTGTTTCGAACCCATGAAAAACATAAAAAAAATTAGGCTATTTAAGAAAAATTTAATCGTCTGCCTTGCATGGTCTTTCATGTGCCTTTAAGTTTGTAAAGACCTATTAAATACTTGCATAATTTCGAACGTTCATATTTCAGGAAACAATGAGCTAAGACTTACATGTAAGATGTCTAAATCTACGCCATATCCCTTACAAACCCTAACGACAATTCGCTGAAATACAAGTTAGCCTGATATGTCATTAAGCAAACAAACGCTGGAGTTAATATTTGATATGCCGATTTTCGCTAATTTTAGACACATCCCAAAATATGCTCCCGATTTTGAACATTAATATCTCCGTGAATTTTTAAGTAAAATACAACTGTAATATATCAAAATCTAAGTTAGCCCTTCCTCTATTTAATGCAAGTTATTTCTGTTTGATAGCTTTACTTGTTTAGAAGTTATTATAAATCAAACCGGAGTACTTTTTTTTGGGACACCCGGTATATATATATATACATATATAGATGGGTAATACTTTAAGAATGCAATCAAGTTTACAAACTATTTTGGCAATATGATTAAATCAGCGTGAGCTCCACCTTTGAATTTACTATATGAGTAAATTCTTAAACACGTCCGAATTTATCATTATGATGAATTCGCGGCACATTTTGAATTTATCATAATAATATATAAATTCGCGGCACCTAACACTAACACTAACCCCAACCACTAACCACTAACCTCTAACCTTTTTAACTTTTTAAACTTTTTTGAAAATCTAACTTTTTAAACTTTTAAAACTTTTTTAAACTTTTAAAACGTTTTTAAAAACTATTTTTTTGAAAATCTTGAAAATCTTCCCACCCCCGCGCGACCAGCCTCCTGTTTAATGCCATTACATTTATAACAAGAAGTCTTGTCTAATGCTTGTGGTTTTATGATTAACTCTATTGATAAATGCGGAATTCGAGGACTTTCCGATGGTTCAAATCTTACCTTTATGAACGAAAACAAATAACCAATCAGAATCAAATGTCAAAATTACTGCATGCGGTGTTCCCCAAGGATCTAATCTTGGTCCACTGCTCTTCCTAATCTAAGTACATAATAAACGATTTGCCAAAAGGTGAAATCAATACAGATCTAAACAGTATTCATGATTGGCTTAGAGCTAACAAACTTACGTTAAACAAAGACATGAACACAAATTTACTAATTTTAATAAGTTCTTTACGGGAATTTACTTTTCTTGCCTACTAGATCCGAAAAATTAGTCTAACATGCAAGTAATTGTCTATTATGTCCGACGAATAGTGATAAAAAAATAAAATCCCAAAGTGATAATAAAAAATTATTTAATTGGTTGGGAATATTCGTTCCGGAGTAGTCGTCACTCACCAGAATCCATATTTACTCGGGATAATTTTGCATAAAGTAGATACACATAGAATGCTGGTTCTGCCGTATTCTAGTGACGTAGATTTTACTCTCAAGAGAATATTTTATGAATTTTTAGCATTGTACATAATATTCGTGAACTTTGGAAATAATCCTGATATTATAAACGCTGTATTGTAGTTTATCTAATGAGTAATGGTAACTGAATGAATTTTTTTAAGACATTCAACATTCCGCTTTTTAACACTCCGCACTTCGGGACTCCGGCACTCCAGGTCTCCGCATATTACAATGTAGGTGTCCAACAAGATTAACCACATGCACATCTTATTCTGTGACTGTGCTACAACTATAGGCACATTTAAGGATGGAGTATATGGCCTATTGTCTTGATACTCAGGCTACACGAGAACTACCGTAATACAACCCCGTTTGACGTCGCAGATCCAACCTCCCGCCAATTCGGGTCATTAATTAAGTAAAATGGACAAAAATGTCGCTCCATGACTAACTTTATTGTCTAGTTATTCTTCAAACAAACCGCTTCAACAAGCTGCTTATTTAACATGCCAAGTTTAATACAGATCAAATTTCACACACTCAAAACTAAAAGCGTCCGGAATAAATAACATCACAAGCTGGCTTAAAACTCAGGACCCAGCAGCGGGCATTTATTTATTATCATCGTAGATTTTATCCCAAAATTAAAAATGACAACGAACGAAGGAATCTCTTTAGAAGAAGAAATTGATATGGGTAAGTAGGAGAAATAATTTTTTATCGTTAATTTCGACAAGGCCATTCTCATTCATTATTTACACATAAAAGCTCTCCATATAACAGCAATTCGGGTGGCAAATTACCAGACGTTAAACAGTATAAAGAGAGTAATCGTTTAAAATTAGTGGATTTAAAAAACAAGACACAAATTTTATTGGCGTGTTTGTTATGTGAATGATCGGTCTAAATCTAGGTAAAGTGTCATATTTCGGCTTTTTGAAAGCCATGTGTTCTTGATGAAACGCAGCTTTAACTGGACCTCTGATAGAGCTATCCAGTATTAATAAAGTAAGGAATGAAGTCTAGTTCCTTACAAGATTACTTACTTTTACATTTTACTACACAAACGAGGTGAAATTACTGACGTACGTTTTACGTTCTACGAGCGCAAACGTTGCCGGTTGGCAGAGCGCGTGCACATGGCTTGTCAAAAACTCACAAGAAATATGACACTTTATCTAATTTTACTCTCTAGACCGATCATTGACACAACAAACCATTAAAATGTAGGAAATTTTTTGTCTTAATATACAAAATAATGTAGTGAGCTTGAGCTAGTATAGTGAAATAATAGTTGAGCTTAAGCAAGCGACGTTTACGGTCGACACGGACATCACTCGCAGGCTAGGACGTCACACGAAAATTGGCATAACTAATTTTGGCGACATTTCGCATCAAAGCGCTCGTATAAGGAAGCAAAAATATTTAAAAACCTTACTAAAACTTATTAAAACTGACACCAACACAGGTTTTAATTCCGTCCTCCCTCAGCAATCTGATGTCTGTGTTGACAAAAACGTCGCTAGCGATTCCTAGACCCTAATATCCTAATGATGACTGAAATCTGAATATTAGTCGAAACGATGATTTTATATTGAAAATGAAATTGTTCGGAGTTAGTGAGTTACGGTCAGTCACCATTATTTTGTACTTTATTAAAATACTTAATGCATGGTTACCGAAAATTAAACAGTATATTTATAAGCACTTATTTTATAGTGTATATACAGGTAGTTGTGTTTACTGTATTTGACACTTGAATTAATAATTGAAAAATTCAAGGCGCAAATCATAAACGTTTAGGTGTAGAAACGTTAATATTAATAATGCATAGGAATAGATCTGGTGGTGGTGTCGGCGGCTTCTTCATACGCGATACAATTGATTACCGTATAAACTATAAAGGCGGTTTTCCAGTCCTCGCACGAAGCTCCTCGCAGCTCGCTGCGAGTGCTTGCATCTAATTAAAATTAACTGTTTAGCATTGTGATTGGATGAAAGTGCTCATGCATCACTCGAAGCGAGCTGCGAGGAGCTTCGTGCGAGGATTGGAAATTCGCCTTTAGACCTGACCTTATTAATGACACCGCGACATAGAAATTTTAACAATTAAAATTATTAAAAATAAAAACAAACCATTTTTAATCACAACATGGCATAGGCGTCCGAAAGACCTCATGGACACATTTGAGAACTGCCATAAATTCATTGATAACGAAGATAAAGAAAGTATTATTTTAGCAATTTATAGGGGATATTAATTCTGATATTTTAAGCGGCGACCCCACACACCCTGTTTCTGAAATGGATTTTCATTGCTGACATTGCTAAAAATTATAAATATGAGCAGTTAATAAAAGACCCACTAGAGTTACGAGAGCATTTAACTGAGCTAATCGTCACGTGTGCCGGTTTGCTCAGCTCTATTTGTTTGTCGCAAACATAAAAGTAAAGTGCTAAGCTAATATTTTCAGGGTCGTCCTTAGGAAATTTTTCAGGGGGGGGGGGTGTAAGTTCATTTCAACCGACTGACGAACGAGCTTGTACCGACCACATGCTAGCCATGGAAGCTTTTAAAATTTCCGATGGAGGTCAACTAAATTCAGGGACCTCGGCGGAGCCATTTTTTGATTGGAGGGGCGTGAGTTTTTAGGGGGATCCGGGGCCATGCTCCCCTGGGAAATTTTGAAATCTGAGATCTCCCAGAGCCCTGGAAATGCAATCAAATTTACTAGTTGCTGTTAAAAAGTTTCTTAATAGACGACTTTTAATCTAATATTACCCGTCATTTCAGTTAATTAATCCAAACAGAAATAGATTGAATACTTGGCTATATAAGTTATAAATATATTGTTAACTGATCTGAAAGATTTCAGTATTGTTAGTTTATAAAAATCACATATGTATGGCAAATTATTGGGGGGGGGGCATATTCGTGTTCTGCATTATTAATTTCTTTTGAAATCGATTGTTTTTAAGGTCTGTGAACACGAATATATGAATATGGTCCCCCCCCCCCCACTTATCGATCTTTCGACGCCTATGCCTGAAATTACGCCCGTTGTGCTCTAAATGAAGACTGTTCTAAATCGCCATATTTGATAATTGAGTTTTTGGCGGGAATATATTGTGTTCAGCGGTTCTACCTATCAAACATGCTACAAATACTTCATTTAAGATCTTTTGTATCGCTATTTGGTTTAACTTTCAATCTGGGCTTGTTTTACTAACGGATTATATAAGTCTTATAATGATTATCCTGCTGAGTAAATTTCGAGTAACTAAAATTTCCGTTTCTTATATACAGGGTGTCTAAAAAAAAACGCTATGGAAATTCAACAGGCTGTTGTGCATCATAAACTTAACTAAACAATTCGATTTTTACATAGGACGAAAGAGCTGTTATTTAGCTTTTCTATGATACCTTTCTTAAACCGTAACGATGAGAAATGGCCACATACTCGTCTAATAAAAATTGCCGGTCGAAATCACATTCTTCTAACGTTGGGAATTGAAAATATATTAATTATGCAAAGTTAATGAATCCAAAAGCCCGCGAGTCTGCTGCAAGATACTTGTTTCGCAAAATGTTTTGATTACGAATGTTCTCTGTTCAGGGGTTAATTGAACCATGTTTTATGCAATAATGGACGTTCTTATGGTCTCACTAAGACGAAGATTGACGAGTTGAGCTCATTTTAGATAATTTAACATTCAATTTTAATTCCCTCTTGGGAATTGTTTATGTTTCGTTTTCCATGCAATTCCCAACGGTGGAAGAATGTGATTTCGACCGGCAATTTTTATTTGACGAGTATGTGGCCATTTTTCATCGTTACGATTTAAAAAGAGTATCATTGAAAAGCCAAATAACTGTTCTTTTGTCCTATGTAAAAATTGAATTGTTTAGCCACGTTTATGATGCACGACAGCCTGTTGAATTTCCATAGCGTTTTTTTTTAGACACCCTGTATCAAACAAGTGAAAATCATATCAGTAGTTCTAGTAGTTTTATTCATCAAAAATATTTTTGTCTGCCGACTAAAATAGCAGTCCTGCCGACTGAAGCTTCGAATACAATTTCTGGGGGGCCTGAATATTTTACTTCGCTCCAATTTCGCAAATATCACGTACCACGTGAGAAAGATACGTACTTTTATTGGCTACTATATTCACAGCTAACACGGGACGAAAAATCTAATCCTTGCCTCGCGTGGATAAAATAATCAACACGATAGAATTTTTCCTCGCGGTCTCGTGTGTCACTAGATTCCACCGTGCGCGTAGGAGAGCCAGTTTATAACTAAGCTGATTATCTCTGCCAAAAGCTCTGATGTGCACGTGTGGCTAATTGCTCGCGTCTACAATCTTTGCCAGAAACTATTGGACATCTGCTGTAATTTCATATAATTTGAAAGGAATATCGCCCCCCGTTCTCCCAATTCAATGTTGAGCCAACAAAAATCTGATGTCTGGATGCGCAACGCCAACATTGAAACGGGTGGGGGGAGGGAGGGTGGAAAATATGTATCAGGAAATGGTATATTACAACCGAATGCATGTGAAAACTAGATTGTCCCAATCTATATTGTCAAAGATTGTATACAACAAAAGTTAAACCAGATATATTATTAGAGTATTATTATATGGCAAGCATCATTTCCGGTGAAATGGCGGACTGTCATTGGCTGAGTCGCTGAGAAGCGCTTTCAGCGGTCCATTATTTTCCCGTAAAATACGTAAAAACAAACTCATGCATTTTAAAACAAAACAGCAAAACTAATTGAAAATTTAAAATTATAATTTAATTTGTTATTAATAAGATATCTTCGAATGGTTTTTAGTGCAAAAGAAGGAATTACATTGGTATTTTTTGTTTTCTTCGATCAAATGTGTACCACGCTACTAATATGCATTTCAAATCATGACTTTCTTGGGTTTTTTTCAAGTATAATTTATAAATACCATATAATAAACTTTTTATTAACCTCACTTGCTTGGTATGTACAGAGAAATATCGGACCGAGGTCCGATATTTCCCTGTACAGACCTCGCGTTCGGTTAATAAGAAGTTAATAATTACTGCATGTATTACTATTAGTGATCGTTACGTAATCTATGGCATTCTCACGCAAATAATTAAAGGATCATCTCGAAATGATAATATCGTGATAATTAGAATCATGCACTCTGGAATTCAAATTTAGACCATTTGGATCCCAACAGATCAATCATGGTTAATTTGGAAAAATAACTAAAATTTCTTGATATTGTAAATATTATACATGCACCTGAAGAAACGTAGAGTGTTCAATAAACGTGTACCTTAACTGGTGATTGAATAGTAAGGCCGGTAAAAGGCTCGTAAAAGGCAAGATTATCAAAATCAGAACTGAGCTGACTGGTCAGCTTACAAATATGCCAAAAATAGTTACAATAGATTAATCAAGGATACCACTCCGTCAGTATTATCAAGACAAGCTGCAAAGTAACTCAGGGGATCTTAAAAAAAACATGGAAAACAATCAAAGAGTTAATGAATAAGTCCAAAGAAGGTGGTAAGATACTTGAGCTAAGAGCCTAATTATACATTCCAAATGCGTTTAATTAATTTTTATCGAATTGGGAGACAACCTACTGTATATAATGATATTATTGATATACCACCATCATGCGACCTAAAACTTGTGACCCCTGCAATTGCCTCTCAATTACACCAAATTTTTATCAATCAATTCATTCACTAGTCATATTCCCGACAGATTGGAAAGATGTGCAAGGGCCGGTAACACTGATATATAAGTCTGGGGAAAAGCTTAGTATGCGGCATGTCAAACTATAGACTCATATCTGTTATTTCGATTAATGTAGCGAGAATTATGGAGAAACTATAAATATACAACCAGGTCTATATCTGATTAAGTAAAATTTATTAACAAATTCCCAACACGGTTTTAGACCGAACCATTCTACGGTTGCAGCATTAGATATCACTAATGAATATAGTATCAGAATATCGACAACTAAATGGTGTAATATTTTAGATCTAAGAAAAGCGTTTTCACTGTTAATCGTTCATGATATCCTTCTTAGAAGTCAGAAGGTTGGATATTTATTGCATAAGAGAAACAGTATTACGCTGGCTCAACTCCTGCGTAACAGGTCGAACACAGTATTGCGCAATAACAACTAAAGTAAACAGAGGTTTGAATGTACTATAAAGGTTAAGTGAAGTCTTAGACCTTTAAGCTTTATGGGGCGGCCTCGTTATGGGGCGGCCTCGGCTCCACACTTTCTGATAAACTGCAGCGTTTACAAAACAGAGCTTCGCGCATTATCACTAAATGTGGATATGATGTCCGCTCGTGTTCTTCTACAACACCTAAACCTTAATAATCTGGAGACTCGTAGGAATCACCAACTTGCTGCACTAATGTTTAAAGTCAGAAATTGAATGGTATACCTCACAATCAAATTTATTTCAAAGAACCGATGACGTACACATTTACGAAACGAGACAGGTGCAAAATTATTTTCCACCTAAACCAAACACTAATGTCAAGAAAAAATCATTTAGTTACATGGGTGCGGTGGCTTGGAATAGTTTATCTTGTAATCTTAAAAGATCACAAACTATCCAATCTTTCAAAAATAAGTTTTAATTGGAACGAAAGTAATCATAATTTCCTACTGTAATAATTTTTATACATAGGGCCTATTGGAAGATTACTCATTTTGTTTTCTCTCTGTATATAGTTGGTTTTATATTGTGAAATAGTTCCGTACTGAACTATAAAGTAGTAATAAATATAAATAGCCTTCTCACACATCATTAGATACTCATAGCATTTCGGCCAATGACATGTTGTAATTTACATCACGTGTATCTATCTGGATACCCCGTCTAGACCAGGACTTTAATTACTCCAAGCTAGTGGGAAGGGCTTTGAACAATAGGGAAATTGAGGGATAAACAAAAGATTATGCAAATATATTTAATTGCTATGTTTAGAATTATTTCTAAATACAGTAAGCTGTATTTAGAATTTTTTTTCTAACTTCACTTTACATTTAATACTTTTTCTGAACGTTTGAAAACTACATAAATATAGGAAAACCAACTTTTTTACCAACTATCATAATAAACAGCGCTTTAAACACTACAGCAATAATACAACAAGATTGAATAGAGAGAACTTGACCTTAAAGTCACGAATTTCCGAACTGGAGGGGAAAGTTTTTTCTATTGAAAAGTCTCACGGGAATAGAAACAAAAGCATAAATAGTGAAATGGTTAAAGAAAATCTAGTCAATTAAATTATAAACGATGGCAAATCACTTAAGGAAGTCTATACTATACCGAAAAGTATTTTGTGTAGTGAATATAATGTTCCCGCCGACGTTGAAATGCAAATGTTTGGCGATGACCAACGAAGCGGCTCATTAGCAACGGAAAATAATAATAAACTGTTGAACTCAGCAAATGATAATAAAGATAATGACGGGAAAGTGGATTATGAAACCACTCCACTTAGCATAAACGGCAACTCAAGCATACATGAAATCTCAATTGCTGAAACAAATAAAGAAAGTTCCAAAGAAAATTATAAACCTGGGACCAATTAATTGTCAGTAACAACCAACGTCATGATCAAAATAGCCTGCAACAAACAAATTTAGTTATTCTATATCAATAGTCAAAGTCGCATTTTTCTAGTGTTTTATTGGTTGGGAGCATATCACGTGAGAGTGACGCAATTAGGCTGTCTCCCTCGCAACAGCGCGAGAGGGAGATAATACGTTATCGACCGGCGAATAACAAAAAAAATCACGTGCGCCATCACGTGAAGATGCGACCTTTGGACATGCCTAGTACGTAATTAAAACTTTCGCTTTAAGTAACTGCAGTGTAGCCAGTGTTTAATATAACGTTTTAACAATAAAATATTTAATGTATTTACGTTCATTTGTTCTTTAATTTGTTGTTTCTTTGACTATTGATCAACTAAAGGAATAGTTCACAGCTGTGTTACTATAATAGCCAAAAACTTGTGCAATTTAGTTCTATACGATGTCAACAGCTACACATCAAACTCAATCATCAAATATAAATCGATATCCTGAACTAAAACTATCGTGGTCTGGTGATTATGAATCGCTGAAATTGTTGATAGCGAATTAAATTTCGAAGGAACATGGTCATCGATCGGTGGGGAGAAAAAGTTGTTTAAAAGCAACAACGTTGATATCCATTGGTGGGCTAAAAAGAAGTTTCTTAGGATAGAGGGAAAGCAGGCAAGTGAAGTCAAACGTTCAATTCTGATGTTGATTTTGCATGACATTGGTTCTGACGACCATAATATTCGCTCGTCTCATAACATGTGTAAATGCCCTGAAGTCAGTTCTGATATCGAAGGCGTTAAATTGGATGTCACTATCTTGGAATCAACAGTGAAACAACAGGCATATACGCTTGTTAGAATGCAGGAAACCTTGG